GTATATGTACTAAATGATTATGGTACTAAAATTGTTAAGTCTATTGCAAATATAGCTTGTTTATACAGGTATTCAAATAAATTACCATCTTACAAGAATCCCTCCAAAGTAAGTTATATTCACCCAGGTCGTTTGGGTGGCAAATTATGAGAAGAGCTTAGTCACTCTTAAGTAATGATAAATGAACACGCAGGCAGGCCTTCAGCGCCAACTGTCAAATCTTATCTCAAATAAATAAACAAAGAAACACCAGACATTCTGTCACCTCACCTCACCTCCCGCCCCCCCTCTTCCCACCCTCCTTGTGTTCCCAGACAAAAGATTGATTTCTTTATGTTTATTTTATATAATATCTCAGACTAAAGTTAGGATAATATAATATGCATTGCTGAAATCCTTGCAAGACAGCCAATAATTTGAATATAAACATCATATATTTTGCTCAAGATATAAAAAATGTAGTACATTAGTGTACTATACTGTAGTACATTTTATAAAAAAATTTTCAACTATATTTTTGGGTAGATTTACATAAATTTCTTCATTTATTTTCATCCATTTACATGCACACACCATACTAAAAGAAACGTAAAAGAAATAAATGACCTAAGTGCAAAGCTGGAGTGCACATGTACTAATTTGATTACGGTACTAAAATTGTTGTCTAGTGCGAATTACATGTTTATATTCAAATAAATCAGTATCTTACAAGAATCCCAGCAATGTTAATTATATTCTCCTAGGTCATATCACTGGCATTTTAAAATGAAAGAAGCTTAGTAGGACTGTTAAATAAACACACAGAGGCCTTCGGCTCAAACTTATCACCTCAACCCCCCACCCCCTCGCTGACTGGCTGGCTCTGTCAGTCTCTCCCTCCCTCCCCCCCCAGCCTTTTAGGCTTACAGTTTTTATCTTATATAATATCTGAGACTAAAGTTAGGAGATTATAATTAGCATTGCTGGAATCCTTGCAAGACAGCCAATAATTTGAATATAAACATCATATATTTTGCTCAAGAGATAAAAATTGTTGTACATTAGTGTACAGTACTGTAGTACATTTTATAAAAGTTTTTCAACTGTATTTTTGGGTAGATTTACATAGATTTCTTAATTTATTTTCATCCATTTACATGCACACATCATACTAAAAGAAACGTAATAGAAATAAATGACCTTAGTGCAAAGCTGGAGTGCACATGTACTAATTTGATTACGGTACTAAAATTGTTTTGTCTAGTGCAAATTATAGCATGTTTATATTCAAATTAATCAGTATGATACAAGAATCCCAGCAATGTTAAATATATTCACCCAGGTCATTTCACTTGCTTTTTATAAGAGAGAAGCTTAGTCACCTAAGAACTGATAAATATACACACGTTAGACCTGGCCCTGTGCCATCTGTCAAACATACTACCTCCCCTCCCCCCACGCCCCCTCACTCGGCCCCACCCTCTCTCTCCCACCGTCTGCCAGGCGTTGCTGGAATCCTTGTAAAACAGTGAATAATTTTAATATAAACGTCATGTATTTTGCACAAGAGATAAAAATTAATCACCTGTATCACATTACAGTAGTGATTTAAGAGTAAAAGTGTATGTGTACGTATATAGTATTTCACATACACATAAGTATAAATACAAAGTTTATGTGATGATCGGACAACGTCCATTTCGGTTATCGTCACGTTTCCAAGAACGTATCTAGGACGTTAACCGGCGCATGACTGTACTGTACTGTACACTAGAATAGCCAAAAAACATAAACCAGTAACATAGGCATTTCCTATATCTATCAAAACATATTATGGATATACAGTTACTTTACTGTATCATCATACGCCTGGCAGCACAATCTATAAGAACAAGCGATGCATACGTGAGCGCACCCGCTCTAAGTCCACTTACGTCCGCTACGTCTCATTGTCTGAACGGGTTTTTTTTATCCCCATTATTTTCATGGGCCACGGACGTATATGCGATCGGACGCTGTTCGGACGGACGTAAAGCGACGCATGACTGTACTGTATATAAGAATTTACTAGGGTATTTTTGCCGTCTGGAGTTGGTGTAAAAGGCAGACATTTTAACCCATGTAATGAAAACCACCACCTACCAATTAATCAGATTTCCTTGGGCTCAGCTGTGCATGGGTTGCTTCAGACTGAGGAGTAACAAAATCATGGCATGGTAGATGATGTGCCACGTAGATGTCGCACCTTTATGATTATTTTGTGCATGCAGTTGAAGAAAAGATTTGATTTCAATGGTAAACTATGGTATTTGTGCTCATTTTTAACAAAAGAAAGTTTTAGACTTCAAGTCCAGGACTGCGATGCCCTCTTTGCATGATTTAGTGAAGGCTGTGCTTTGCATTTATGACTAGGATATATAGACAATGGATTATGAGTGGAGAAACCTTGATTCCACTTCTTTTCCACCAGAACTGAGAGACGATAAATGTGGGATTGTAGAATTTTATGTGAATTTATAACAAATGACCAATAATGAGGGATCACATCAACTTAAAAGTTTTTTCCACATTTGCATTGCAGGTTTTGTCACTACCAACATATAACGCAGATGCAGAAAGGTTATTCTCCAGATTTACTTTAATGAAAACAGATGCTTAATATTACCATCCATCAATGCCTTAATTTCAGCCTCTGAAGCTGTAAAATCCAAAGGTTGCTGTGGGAAGTTTACCACATCTCAAGTAATGATAAATAGTTTACAAACGTAATACACAAGTGAAGATGATAGTGTGTTTTGAAGGTGTTTGGTTTTTAGGGATAATTGGTGGTGATGAATGGTGTTTTGCTTGTATAATGCATTTCTTGTTTATAAAGTAAATATCAGACTTAGCAACCTCTGTTCTGTTACCAACTAACATGAATATTTAATGGCTGTATCGTGTAGTGAGGCATATCACATTGGATGTAATATACACCTGCTATAACACAATAAATTTGTTGCACCAACTTTCCATTCTCTTTACAGGCATCCTCCGCGTACGGAAGGGTTCCGTCCCTGGAAAATTGACCGTATCGCGAAATTCCGTAACGCGAAACCTATTTTCCCATTGACTTCCAATATAAAACTGGAGATGCGTTCCTACGGAATTTTTTTAGGCCCCAAAAATGTAATTCAAGCACTTTTATGAATGAAAATAAACATTTATAAACACATACAATACAGTACATTAAATAATTCATGATATACATGTAATATGAAGAGAAATACAGTTGGAATAAACAAAAATACAGTGAACCCTCACTTTACGCGGTTAATTCAACCCACAGGGTACCGCGGAAAGTGAGAAACGCGTAAAGTGAACAACATAACATATGGGATTAAATGAAATAGAGACCGGCTGACCCCCAAACTCCACTTTTTCCGACACAATACCTATGTTCTAGTAAAAATAACATCTTAATTTTATGATGGTACATGCACACAATTAATACTTAAGAGAAATAGAGAAATACAGTCGCCAAGTTAATGTCCATCAAATAATGGACTCAACTCCTTCCCTCTTCTCACACTACACTCACTGGCTCTTCCCTCTCTGAGAAATTTTGGGGGGAAAACCACTAGATTTTATGGTATAGTAATAAATAATACCTCAAACTAAAGTTAGGATAATATAATTGACATTGTAAGACCAGGAATATTTTGAATATAAATGTCATATATTTTGCACAAAACATAACATATTTACTCAGAGTAAACAAAATACTTACATTAGATCTAAAATTTGTATGTCTAATGCAAAATCTATGATGTTTATATTCAAAATGATCACCAAATTGTAAGAATTCCAGCAATGTAAATTATATTCTGGCCGGGTAATTTGTATGAATTTTATGAGCTAAAACAAATATCTTCAGTTAATAAAAAAAAAAATATTCTTCACGACACTATCTGTCAATCAAAGTACCCGACCTTGCCTCCCCCCCTCTTCCAACCGCGCCAGATGGTCGGTCCCTCCCTCCCCCCCACCCCCAACCAACCCTCCCTACCAGATAAATTTGTGGGAGAAACCAGAATATTTACCTTTTTAGTAATAAATAATACCTCAGACTAAAGTTAGGATAATATAATTGACATTGCTGGATTTTTTGTAAGACCAGGAATATTTTGAATATAAATGTCATATATTTTGCACAAAAGATAACATATTTACTCAGAGTAAACAAAATACTTACATTAGATCTAAAATTTGTATGTCTAATGCAAAATCTATGATGTTTATATTCAAAATGATCATCAAATTGTAAGAATTCCAGCAATGTAAATTATATTCTGGCCCGGTAATTGTATGAATTTTATGAGCTAAACCAAATATCTTCAATAAATAAACAAAATATACTTACCGAAATACTATCTGTCAATCAAAATATCCAACCTCCCCCCCTCTTCCCACCTGCTCCGTGGGTCCCTCCCTCCCTCCCTACCCCTCACCCCCACCTTCCCTCCCTACCAGAGAAATGATTGGGTTATAACAGTATATTTACATTTTTAGTAATAAATAATACCTCAGACTAAAGTTAGGATAATATAATTGACATTGCTGGATTCCTTGCAAGACCAGGAATATTTTGAATATACACTTCATACATTTTGCACAAAAGATAACATATTTGCTCTGAGTGAACAAAATACTTGCATTAGATCTAAAATTTGTATGTCTAATGCAAAATCTATGATGCTTATATTCAAAATGATCATCAAATTGTAAGAATTCCAGCAATGTAAATTATATTCTGGCCGGATAATTTGTATGAATTTTATGAGCTAAATAAAGAAATTATACTTCACCCGCGTAAAGGGGTACACTCACCACGGAAGGCTCACATTCCGGTTTCGGCAGGGTACCGCGTAAACGTGGAAACGCGGAATGTGGGACTGCGTAAAGCGAGGGTTGACTGTATTGTACTGTACTTACCACAAAAGATGTTGACTGCTGCGTGAGGATTGGTGGTGCAAAGGAAGTTATTTGGAGGGAGAGGGAGAGGCAATACTCTCTTCTGCCCTGCCCTGTAAATCATCATCTGCTTTCACCTTTTCTCTGAGGATGAATAACTCATCCAAAGTTGTTTGATGTTTACGGCGCACCTTCTCCTTGTACAGCTCAGTGTAGGAACTGAGAGCATTGTTAACTGCTCTTGCAATCTTGATGTTCCTTTCACGGTTGGGGTCGTTATCAGCAAAGATTTGCAGACCTTCCTGTATTAGTGCAAATGCTTTAGACATATCCTTTGTTGTCAACTGAAGTGGGGTGGGTGGAGATTCTATATCCTCTTCTTGTCCTGCAGCTTGCTCTTGTTCCAGCATCATCAGATCTTCATTAGTCAAATCTTCTCTATGGGACTCTAGCAACTCAACCACATCATTTTCTATGACTCCTTCAAAGCCTACATTATTTGCAAGTGTTACAATGTCTTGTTGAACTTGCTGAAGACTTTCAGCTTGTGAAAAACCATGAAATTCATGGACACACTCTGGCCATATGTTTTTCCATGAATCATTTATAGCTGAGGTTTTCACTTCATCCCATGACTCGGCTATATTATCCACAGCATCCAAGATGTTGAACTTTTTCCGGAAGTCCCTAATTGTAGGTTTATCCTCCCCATCAATTACTTTTATGAGCAGCAAAAAAGTTTTCCTAAGATAATATGCCTTAAAGTTAGCTATCACACCTTGATCCATTGGCTGGAGCAAGGAAGTTGTGTACTTGGGGATGTACTCCACTCTCACATTATCAGAAAGATCATTTAAATTTACTGGGTGGCTTGGTGCATTGTCTAAGAGGAGCAATGCTTTATTAGATATGTTACGCCTGGCATTATATCTTTCTACAGCAGGGCAAAAATAGTTAGTGAACCAGTCTTGGAAAAGGGTTACAGTCATCCACGCCTTCTTATTGGAACGCCAAATCACAGGTAGATTAGACTTGGCATAGCCCTTGAGAGCCCTTGGATTTTCTGAGTGATACACAAGTAGGGGCTTTAATTTCATGTCACCTGAAGCACTTCCTCCTAGAAGAAGTGTTAAACGATCTTTGGATGCTTTAAAGCCTGGTGCTGATTTTTCTTCAGTGGAAATAAAAGTTCTAGCAGGCATGCGCTTCCAGAAAAGCCCAGTTTCATCAACATTGTACACTTGTTCTGGTGTGTAACCTCCTTCATCAATAATTTTCTTCAGCTCAGCAGGATATTTATTAGCAGAATCTGTATCAGCACTGGCAGCTTCACTGCTCATTTTTATGTTGTGTAAATTAAGGCACTTCTTAAACCTTTCAAACCAGCCTTTACTAGCCAGAAAAGGTTTAACCTCAGAAGATGCACCTTCCTCTTCCTACAAATTATTATATAAACTTATGGCTTTCTGTTGAATAACCATAGTGTTTAGTGGCACATTGCATTTAGTCTGATCTTCAATCCAGACACTCAGGAGTCGTTCCATATTTAGCATCACATCACTTCAATGAAAATACAAGGTTCGAGCAGTTAATGGAGTAGCAGCTTGAGCACTTGACCTAATTTTGTCCTTTTTATCACGGATTGTTCCCACTGTTGAAGTAGCAAGACCTAATGTTTTTGCAATCTGGCTAAGTTTTTCTCCAGCATCAAACCTTCTTAAAACGTCAAGTTTAATATCCAATGTAATGCCTTTGCGGCTTCTTTTTGCACTACTGCGGTCACTTCCACTTGATGACCTCTTTCCAGTCATCTTGAATAAGAGTAATGCACTGTACTGTACTTACTGTATGTTTGTAAAAGTTAAATCCAACTGCTGGGGCGAGAAACATGCGCGCACACTGGGTGTAAACAATGGACTGACTCCGTGTGGCGACGCCACGCTTGGCGGTAGCAAACACCAAGAAATCCACACCAAACAAATTATCATTTTTAACAAAAAAATTTAATTTTATATAGTGATTTTTTTTTTTTAATTGTTAAAATTTACCCCAATTTCTGTAAGGGCGGATTTACGGGCCGTAACGCGAAATTATTGGTCATAATTTACAAATTCCGTAAGAGCGAAATTCCGTAACCCGGGCTCCCGTAACGTGGGGGATGCCTGTCTATCATCACCCATAGAAAATGTGTATTTTTAACGTCATGCATGAGTGTGGAATAGCGCCAACACTGATTAGGCATATTGCCTCAGTGTCGAATGACTCCCTAAGCAGTGAAGTGCTCGCAACTCAGCCTAGCACACCACCCTCACTGTATTCTGACTGAAGCTACACTTTCCTGCTGTTTTTACAGAAGAAGACATGTCGAAGGCTTCAAAGAAGGTTTAACATAGGCGTCAGCATAGAATTTGGCAAACTGGTGATGAAGCTGGCTGTACTGCCAGCATACCAAGACCTCACCCTCAACGATGGTGATCTCACCACCTGACACAACTGCTCCTATACCTTCAACAACACCTGCTGTTACTGCTATGTACACAATAACACAAAGCAAATACACAAGTCAACAACTGTTTGCTGGCAAGTTTCCACCGGTACATGTGGTAGATGATGACATGATTAGTGATTATCGTCATGAAGTCCGAGATACTGAACCTCCTGTCCCGCATAACACAGTTAAAAATCAGATAAATCCATAAAAAATTAGTTGAGCCTCCAAGAATAAATAGCGGACAAACCCCTTAACCTCTTTTATCCCTGTATTATGGGTTTTTCCCATACTCTTTTGGTGTAACTAGTTTTTCCCTAAGTAATATGAGTTGTACTGTACAGCCAATGTGGCTTTTGGTTTTGACTAGTTTAAACTGGTTTAGACTTATTTTGGATTTTAAATGCAACATATGGACAAAACATACTGAACAAGGAAAAGCCAGAAAGCATCAAGATCATCATTCTATACCATTAGCCTGAGGAATATGAAACAAATATAAATGCTGTGTGAGGGTTTATCACGGTGTAAAGCAAGCAGTAACACACACATCAAGACAAAAATAACCGGGACATATAAATATAATTCTTTAATACTGTATAAAATGAGAAAAATCTTGCTAATCTTGTACCATTTGATAGAGGTATAAACACCAGTTGCAAGAAATGTCTTAACATTAACATTATATTGTATGAAGAGTAAGACTAGTAACATTAAAATGTTTAACAACATAAAAGAATGATAAAAATAAATACTTAAAATACTCAATATACAACCTTCTTGTAGCTAGTAAACCACATCCTACCTTCACTTGCACTTTCTTACATCCACACTTTCTTACATTGTATGACTATACCCTTTGGGCTGCTCCAGCACCTATATCTACTGGCAGAATATTTTATTAACATTGCTGTTACATTGTATTATCATCATTACCAGGTATTTTTATTATTATTATTATTTTTATTTATTTAATTTTTTTGGCAGGGGAATCTCCCCTTATGTACATAATATGATAAGTGACTTTGTTGTATTAAAATAAAAAACAAATACAGTACTGTACAGTAATTCCTCGCCAAGGGAGAGTTCTTGATCGTAACCCCTGCGGCTGGTGAGAGATTACTGTACAGTATTTCGTGCTGATGTTCCTTTAAACATCCTGGTGGGAAGTTAATAATTATATACCGGTATATAAAATGACTGCTGATCTCTAAAAAGTATTAATTTAATAATGCAATTTTGACATTCTGGGAAATTGAAATGATTGGTGAACGAAAGAACCAGAAGGTAATACATAGGTATATGAGGGATGGCAAGATAGCCGACATATTAAGATTGTATCCACTTTTTTGCACCTAGTAACTATATCAGTTCTCATGTACAGAACCAAATACGCAATGTGCTTGAATACCTCCCACGTAAATGTGAATAACAAAGTGTGAGGCCAGACATACTGCCTCACACGCCTGTTCTCACGCATTTGTGAATAAGTTACCCTTTATGTATAGAACTAAACAAATAAAGTAAATGAAATACTGTGTAACTTTCAGTGCCATAATATCCTGACAACCGGGGTTAATTATCATGACCCTTTGTAAACCCTACTCTGTAATCCTTTTGCGCTACCGCTCACAGGATGAGTGTGGGGTGCACAATAAAGTAGCCGCTGCAAGCGGCAAAATCAAGGTATATGAGCTACCACAAGAAACAGGATTTTTGTACACGAGTACAATATATAAACGTCAACAATAATACCAATGACAATGGTAATTTTATTATTTATACTACCAAAGTATCAAAGTATTGGCTTTATAAAAATTTATCTTTAAAAATGACGGACGGTGAAGAATATTGCCATAAAAAGAGATATTTGTTGCCTAATGTTGAAAGTTATCCTACAGAATACAGTAAACCCTCACTTTACGCGGTTAATGTAACCCGGAGGGTACCGCAGAAAGTGAGAAACGCGTAAAGTGAATAACATAACATATGGGATTAATTGAAATGGAGTCCGGGCCGATCCCCAAACTCCACTTTTTGACGACACACAACTATGTTGTAGTAAAAATATTATCTTAACTTTATGATGGCATGCACACACAATTAATAATTAAGAGAAATATCAATAATATTAGGTTTTTTAACACTTACATTAGTAGAAAAAATGGCTGGGCACACGGGGATGGGCGGTTGGTTCCGAGGCAGAGGGCAGATTATTGGCCCTCACCTGTGTCACTTGTATCAATTGTATCACTATCCACCACAGAGGCTTGCAGGGCCTCTTTGTCAAACTCCCCAAAGTCCATATAAGTCCATATCCTCACCATAATTATCACTATCACTGACTTGGGCCGGCTGTGGTGGGGGGGGGGTGAAGAACTGGTAATGTTTTGATGACTGGGCGACCTTGTGCGCACCATGTTCGCGCAGCTTACACAACATGGCGGATGGCGGGAGGTTTGGATCCAAAAATGGCGCGGCTCGCCAGCCGCTCTCCGCGTAAAGGGGTACACGCACCGCGGAATGTGAGCATCCTGGGTTCCGGCAGGGCACCGCGTAAACGCGGAATGTGGGACCGCGTAAAGTGAGGGTTAACTGTATTTTGTAAAATTAAATATGATGACAAGATCTGCACATTAATATGAATCTAGATTAATTTTTATGAAATTTATGAAACAAAGATATATACTGTATAACCAACAATAACATCAAAACTCACTGGTATAAATCTTTCAACACATAAGTGAAGAAAGTTATTATCACATATTTATAAATAGGTAAGTGGACTCATAAGCTTAGGTATGATGGGCACTGACAACGTGATCACTGAGAATGAACCAATGCAATATAAAAAAAAAAAAAAAAATAAATGATGAACAATTGCAACTGTCTAAATCAATGGTGTACAGTACAACCTCGGAAATCTGGCACTGCTGGGACCAAGACCATGTCCTATTTGTAAATTTTTATGCTTTTTGAACATGGTCATTCCCCTCTCCCCCTAGAAATCATGAATCATTTCTATGGTGGTGTTTCAGAGACAATATACTGTACAGCTTAGTATAGTGTACAGTTATAAAGCAAAGTTTTCAATCACACACACACAGCAACATACCCTTGTGGCTTCCAGGCCTGATGGCTCCCGGTCACCATCACAAAGTCTCTCCATGTCTCTCTCTCCTCTCTGCAGTCTCCATTCAATTTTCATCATTCATGCAGAACAAGAGGGCATCTTTCTTGATGTTATCCTGCCACCTCTTTCTAGGTCTTCCTCTTGGTCTTCTTCCTTCAGGTCTTCTAAGCATTGCTATTTTGGGAAGCCCGTTGTCCTCCATTCTGGTGACAGGGCCTCAATCATGTCACCATTATTATGCTGTTTTCACTGGTTTTCTTCATATTCAAATATTGAGCCCAAAATTCTTCATGGATTTTAAAATATTTGGTCAATGTCCATACCTCGCAACCAAACATAACAACTGGTTTGATTATTGTGGTGTATACAGTACAGGTATCTTTATTTTGTTTTTCTAGATTCAGTTCTTTTGCTTAAGATTTCCTTCAGATTTCAGTATCTCGTGTGACCACCTTCTGTCAACTTGTCCAAAACCTGCATCATGATGTGAATGTAGCGGCCAAATATTTTAACTTGACAATTTCTTGATTCTCTTCTGATCCTGTCATTCCAGCTTCTCTGTTCACCTTCAACATTTTTTTTTAATGTACTGTATCTTTGTTGATCTTAACCAGTAGCTTAGGATCCCTCATATACTGTGCCCAAAAATGGAATGCAAAGAACATTAAACCTTGAAAGATGATGGCTGCTCTTTAAGGGTTAAGGCCAAATTCTTTCTGAAGTTGCTTTGAAAGGTATTATTAAGTCCGTCAAATAGCCTCCAATATTTGTGACAACATTAATACAGTCAGCACAGGGAACAAAAGTGATGGTTTAATTATGGTCTTGATAAGTTGGCTGTACTTCCTTCACTCTCTAAGGTACTGTACAGTCCTTCACTCTCTGCCTTTTCTGAATGCAAGCTTTAAGAGAAGGGAAGGCAGGCTACACCTCTGTTTTAAACCATTTTCTACTTTTATAAAGACACTGTGTTATTTTTGTAATGAAATTCCACTTAACACCTGTGAACCACTAAGCAAGAACATTTATAATTCCTAAAATATTGCACTAATGGGCTGATGCCTCCCTTACTGAGAAGTGAACCAATCTGTCATGCTCAATGTGTTCCCATGCATTAATCTAATTCCCTTCCCTGCTCATGATGTATAATAACAAAAAAAGGTTACATGACTGGCCATGAGAGTTGTCACACACACATACATGTGTATTTTATAATTAAACTATCACTATATTTTGTAATTGTATTATACATTTGTAAACAACTAAACTGGGAAAAATAGATGAGAAAATGATCAATGCTGTATTTTGAATACTGATCCAAGACAAGTGTTATATGGTACAGTACTCCACAAAATCAGGAAGCAAACACTTACTGTACACACGCAATATAAAGTGATGAATGCTTACAATGAAAGTGAGGTTGGTAGGGAGTCCAAGTTAGTGTACCATTTATTATTTTTTGCATTTGTTATTATTTTTCAAAGGTGCCAGTTTTCAGAGACTTCTGGACAACTGATTTCCAGATTTCCGAGGTTCTACCCTGTACTGTAAATGCATTACTGAACTAATGCAACCTTTTAAAAATAATTCTGTACTACAGTATTATGTGTTAACTGATGAATGTTTGCTCATGCAGTGCCTATTTACCACACTTTTACGACTAGAACGAAATGGGCAAAATTCACAGGAAAACGGCTTCTCCCCAGAATGTCTACGACAATGTCTAATGAAGACAGAATGCCAGGGAGTGGAATAATTACATTGTCCACAGCGATGCATCTTCTTCTCAGAGTAGAGGTGGGCCAGAGCTTTTGGTGGTCTCCCTGGGCCACGATACAATGCATTACTGTTATTCTGTATCATCTGTAAAAAAAAAAAAAAAAAAAAACTTATCAAAACACTTAACATTGTAAACTAATGTACTGGACTTAGAATCAACAAGGCCACAAGTGGCATTGTTTAAAAAGTGAGAATCAAGCCCCTAAAGTTTTTCGCTTGTCACTCCACAACCAATAAAGATATCGAAGTGGGGTTTGTTTTATTTTGAAGATATTTGTTGAAAAAGTTTTGTGTATGAGTGTCATGCATCACGGCCCATGTGCCCCAGATGCACGCCCATTGGCCGAAACGGGTCCACTTGCTGTGCCATTGGCTCAGCTGGGAGGTGTGGCGGGAGACGCGCGCCTGTTGTTTGCTACTATGTGAGTCAAAGGGAGGTGGTGTTGTATGGTGAGACTTGTGTCCTTGTGTAAAGAATGCATGTTGAACACGGTCCGTTTAGGTACACCAATGTATTTCAGTGCTTTTTTGACCATGTGAGAGGTAGTAGGCAGCTACCAAACAGGGAGGTACTACTGCCTGGGAAAATATTGGAAGCATAATGTATTATCTAATGGTAGACCCTGCTGCCATATGGCATCCAAAAAATTGTGACCAAGTCCCAGGTTGCTGATCTGACTTTTTGCCTCATTTACACACAATTGCAGGGTTTCAATTATTTCTCTTATTTTGACAACACACAATACATATATATCATTTCTCACTATTAATCTTTTGTCATTTTTGTATTTATGGTTCTTTATTATTATTATTATTATTATTATTATTATTATTATTATTATTATTATTATTATTATTATCAGTGTTGTTATTATTTGTATTTTTATTTTATTTTTAATTTTGTACATGTATTTTATTTTAATTTTTTTTATTTACTATGAACTAATTATTATTATTATTATTATTAATATTATAACATTTTTGCCCCCCAGGCCCCGATGTGGGTCAGTGACCTGTGCCCAGTGGGCAAATCCCTCCCCCTCCCCCAAAAAAAAACTGCAAATCTAAGCTCCACAAGAGAGATTTCATCTTAGAGAATATGTTGGTACTGTACCAATAATTCCATTTCCCACATGGTAACAGTTGCGGCCTTGTGCTTCTGAGGCCCTCATTTATTATAAAAAAAAAGAAAAAAAAAGTTTTTGTGATAAAGACCAGAATGTGACATCTAGCTTTGTACCTGCATATGTATATGCCCTGCATTAACTCGCCAGGCCAACATACAGGCAATTAAAACATCTAATAATCACTAAAATACGTAATATTAGGACACATCGCTACCTGGCATTTAATTGCAATTCTCAAAACCCCCTTCCTCACCCGCCAGCACATGCATCACTGTTATCATCTCTTGCCCCAGAGCGAGCAGTAAGTAAATGTCAACTCTCGAGGAGTGGAGATGGGTGGGTTGTCAACTCCTTGTGCGTGTTTTAATATTCTAAGTACTGTATTATTAATGATTTGTATCGTTCATTTCACATATATAAACATTAATTTAATCAAATACATATTCAGTAATAAACAATATTGAATCTTTTGTACATACTCTTAAGATAAATGACTATGTTTCCTTGGGTGTGCACGTATACATTGGCGTTCCACTATCAGTCTCACTTTTTCTTTAATATCAGTGGTTACTTCTACTGTACATTAAATAACATTAATTAAAACATGCATATTTTTTACATTAATTTTACTACAACAACAACCAGGGTCTTATTTTCTTCAGTTTCTGGTGGATAACTAACATTATGGGTGTAAACACTGACAACAATGCCGTCTATTATCCTCTTGTGTGTTTTGATATTCTACTTATTATTAACGAATTGTATTGTTCATTTCGCATCTATAAAGATTAATTCAATCAAATACATATTCAGTAATAAACAATAATGAATCTTTCTTACATATTCTTAAAAAGATAAATGACGCGGTATCCTTAAATGCGCACATATATGTTGGCATTCCCAATCCATTGTTTTTTTCTTTTATTGTTCCAAATATTAACATTAAATAACATTACTTAAAACATATACAGGTTGTACCTCTCTAGTCCGACATTCTGTGGTCCGGAAACTCCAGTGGTCCGGAACGATTTTAGTTTGCCCAATAGGTACAGTAGATAGGCAGTTTTTTTTTTTTTTTATCTGAATTATTATTATTATTACAGGAGTATTAAATTTTTGCCCCTCAGGCCCCAATGTGGGTCAGTGACCCATGCCCGGGTGGGCTAATCCCCGTAAAAAACAACAACAACAACAAAGCCGCGGGAAATTAAGGTTTGTTTACATCTGGCAGTTCGGCTGCTCTCTCTCTCTCTCTGCTTGTCTATACAGAGTATACAACATTTTACCCTTCAATATATATGAGCAGCAAATAAGTGTTACTTTCATATTCTTTTGTAGAGTAATGGCGATATGTTTTCACATGTGCGCACCTTCATACGCGCAGTCTCACTTTTTTTTACCATTAATGGTTAGCTACTTATATTGTTCCATTTATTAACATTAAATAACGTTACAGGTACTTCAAACAACCATATTCATTTTTTTACATTAATTTTACTACAGGCTACAATCAGGGTCTTATTTTCTTCAGTTTTATATATAGAACCAATCAGTCACTGGTTTTGTAAGCTTTAACATAAACAATGCCGGCAGCCGTCTCGTCTCCTCTAATATTCCATGTATTATTAATAAATTGTATTGTTAATTTTGCACACACACATTAATTCAATAAAAACAAATTCAGAAACATTAATTAAAATATATATGAACAGTAAATAAGTGTTGCTTTCATATTCTTATGTAAAGTAATAACAATATGTTTTCACATGTGCGCACTTACATACGCGATCTCTCTTTTTTCTTTACCATTATCGTTAGCTACTTCTATTGTTCCATTTATTAACATTATATAACATTACTTAAAACAACCATATTAATTTTACTACAGCTACAACCAAGGTCTTATTTTCTTCAGTTTTATATGTAGAACCAGTCAGTCACTGGCTTTGTAATCAACGATAACAATGCTATGTCATTTCCTCGTGTGTTTTAATATTCTACGCATTATTAATGACTTGTATTGCTCATTTTGCACACATAAACATTAATTCAATCAAAAAGACTTTTAGTAATAAACAATAATGAATCCTTTGTACATAAGAGAAATGACACTGTTTACACGATTGTGCAAGTCGTTTGAACGTTGGTGGGCCGTTCAAACCCGTCGAAATTCGAGTTTCCACTGTCAAAATTTTTAATTGTTTTTTTTTGTGTTGAAATAGAAAACGTCGAATTAAAAACTAGCGAAATTTGAGAAGCTACTGTACGACATTTAACCCTTCAATATGTCTTCAAGGAGACCATGAAGCAGAGAAAGTGGTGCTAGTGCTTCCAAGCGTAAGCACAAGTCACTATCTATCCAGGAAAAGGGTGAATTTCCATGGTCCGGAAATTTCCATGGTCCGGCACCGGTCAGGTCCCGAGGTTGCCGGCCTTGAGAGGTACAACCTGTATATTCGTTTTTTTTAGATTAATTTTTCTACAGCTACAACCAGGGTCTTATTTTCTTAATTTTCTCGGGTAGAACTATCGTTTTGGACTCCGGCTGTAAACACAAACGAAAACAATGGCGTCCCATCTCCTCTTGTGTACCATATTATTATTCATTTATATTGTATAAGGTGCATTCAGAAACATTATTTAAAGAATATAGTTTGCAATTTTCATTAATTGTATTGTTTTGGGGGAAAAAGAGGGTAAAATGCCACACAAAAGATATGAAAAAGTCACACTTGGGAACGCATCTCATTATTATTGCTTTATTTTAATGGTAATTAATGATTCGTGATACGATGATTCACCTTACACTGCAATATTGGAGGACACATTACCGTCGTTATTCGAGGCTTTACTGTACTCAAAATATTGTACTAAATGATTACTAAAATGTTTGTCTAGAGCAAACTACTGGATAGCATGTTTATATTCAAATTAATCACTATCTTATAAAAATTCCAGCAACGTAAATTATATTCTCCTAGGTCATTTGTGACATAAAAAAAAAAAAATCAATATAAAGGATATGAATAAACAAATAAATACTTCACCAGACCTTTGAGCCGACTGTCAAACATGTCAGTGTCACCTCCCCTTCCTCCCGTCCCCCTCCCAGCCAGGGTTTGGTGGTTTTAGGCTTACAGTTTTTATTTTAGATATTATCACAGACTAAATTTAGGAGAATATAATTTGCATTGCTAGAATCCTTGCAAGAAAGTGAATAATTTGAATATAAACGTCATATATATTGCACAAGAGATAAAAATTTTAGCCACTTGTAATAAAATAAATTAGAACATGTCAGTTCAGTGGCATTTTATAAAAGAAAAACTTAAAGTCACTCTTAAGGACAGATAAATAAATAAGCACTAGACCTTGGCATCAACTGTCAAACATATTCCCCCCCCCCCATCTTTCCATCAGCTGATCACTAGTAAACAGACCATTTCACGTCCCATAATTTTAGCTGTGTTGATTTATGATTGTTTGTTTTAACATAATACTACAAAAAACAATGTTTTGTTTATTCTAGGAGATGGGCTGAGGTGCATCTGGGTAGACTCTCAGTCTTTTTAGTATTTTGTTTCTGTCAAGTACCAAACTAAATTACTCCATTGAAACAACACTTCGATTTAGTGCGAATTCGGTTTAAAGCGACCTCTCTTGGAACGTATCTCATGTTATATCGACTTTCTACTGTAATACATGGGGAATTACATTTTCTTCCAAGGATAATCAATATGACTCATTACAACGATATTTCAGTATCTCAATTTAATATCCATTCATATTAATACTTCCTATTGTTCTTATGATTCACCAGTGAGACAATCCTAAATGACTAACTCACTATATAATACACCTCTCCCTTCTCTTATCTCAATTGCCCTCAGCTCACTGAACTCTGCTCCTTGATCAAGCTAAGATTCAGTTCAGAGCACTAATAATCATCATCAAGGT